CTTTTATAACCAGAGGTTCATGGGTAGACCTATTTATCTACTGTCCTTATTTTGGCCCCCATTATCACAGCATCCGAGTACCTTTCTTCCTTTAACGTATTCATCCTCACAACATCCCTGGGAGGCGAAAGTACTGTTATTCCTATTTTACAGATGGGGAACTGAGGCACAGAGAGACTAAATAACTTGCCCAAGGTCACACAGGAAGTCTGTAGCAGAGCAGCAAATTGCACCCAGCTCCCGCAAGCACTAGTCTAACAGCCTAACCGCTTGACCATCCTTGCCTATCATCCTGACAAGTATTGTCTTATTGCTTCCTTGTACTCACTGTCTCATTGTTTCCTCTTTGGTCTGTCTGTATTCATGTGTTGTCTCTTGCCTTATACTTAACTTGTAAGCTCTTTGGGGCACGGACTGTCTGGTTCTGTATTTGCACAGCGCGTAGCACAATGAGGTCTGGCTCATGACTGGAGTGCCTAGCTGTTACAATAAATAAATAAATTATCCTTCCTTCCAGCTGTGTGCATTCTTCACCAGAGGTGGCTGCATTTTACTGATGGATGGAATGATTCTTGTGACTGTTTGTTAAAGACACACTCCAGCATGATGAGTGTGCCTCCTGGGAGGGTGGAAGTGCCCTCATCTTCCAGTCAAGGCAACTGGTATTAAGAGTGCTCCACATCTTGTAGGAAGCACTCATGAGTGGGCCATCAATTTGTAAATTTTTTTGAGCGCCACCATGACATAATGTGCTTTAGAAATATAAACTATATCGTTATTCTGCAGTTAATGCTCTTTCCATTTCTTCTGCTAGGAGAACTTCAAATCTTGTCACTAAAAAGAAATAAGCTATACAAGTGTAAAAGTAGCTATCAAAAATAATGACATTCCTACTGAGCAAGTCAAGGGCTGATGGGGAAACAGATATATCAACCATGCAGAAGCTCCAGCAGCCCTGACCTACTGCTTAAGTCAATGTCAGCCTGTCCAAAGGGGTTCGTTGGACAGCAGGGATGTGCAGGCTCATCTCTCGCCCTACCCTCTATACCACACTGCCTCATCTTTCTGAGAATCTTACAGGACAAGTGATTTATTTTCTCTTTCAATTTAAAAAAAATATTTCCAAAATATAAACTTTGCATGAAATGATGGAACATAAAAAACACACACAAGACTAGAGAATTACAAACCCAAGAAAGTACACATCACAGATTTTTAAGAAACAGTACTGTCCCAAGGCACCTTTGGATAATGCTGTTCCCAATTTTCAGGTGCTCTTCAATGGACATAGGGTCCATTGAAGGAGACCTGCAAAGGAGTATTTTTAAAATTGGGCGTATGCCCTCTTTTTGCTTCTTTTTGATGTATAAGAGGGCCTGAAAGGTTGTTTTGTATATACTGAAATTAAAAAGTGGCAAATTCAAAACAGATGAAAGGAAATATTTTTTCATACAACACTTTATTAGACTGTGGAATATATTGCCACTGGAAGTTGTTGTGGCCAAGAATTTAGCAAGATTCAAAAAGGGATTGGACATCTGTATAGATAACAAGAATGTCTGGAGTTATCATAACCAATGGTGATAACAATTTGAAAGGGATATTAAACCTCATGCTTCAGGCCTTAAGCTGATCTCTAACTCTTGCAGATCAGGATGAGAATAATGGGGGGAGCAGATTATCCTACATCTTCTACTGCGCTGTTCTTACACTTCCTCTGAAGCCTCTGAAGCTGGCCACTGTCAAAGATAGGATGCTGGGCTAAATGGACCTCGGGTCTGATACAGTACAGCAATTCTTATATTTCAAACACACACTGCACACTTGTTATTTATGTTAGAAGTATCAGGAATTGAATATCAATCTGATCTTCCCTGGTTTTGCTATCAGTCTTTCTTGTGGAAGGGGAAGCTGGGGTCAGAGATGTGTACTGTGGGCTCACACCTTAACTGAAGGAAAGAGGGTTGGATCCTTAACAAAGACATCCTTTCTCTCAATTGTTCACTAATCACTGGACTTCAGTAAGTGTTAACAAAAACAAACAGCAGATTTTTAAAACAGTCCAAGGACTTTGTGTACGTGGGGAAATTTACCGGCAGAACTATACTGGTATAATTATACCTCTATAGCTATACTGTATAACTCCCCATGTGGACAAATCTATTCTGGACTAAGACCTTGTTTACACTGCCACTTTACAGCGCTGCAACTTTCTCACTCAGGGGTGTGAAAAAACACCCCCATAAGCACTGTAAAGTGGCAGTGTAGACAGTGCACCAGCACCGGGAGCCAGGTTCCCAGCAGTGGTAGCTATACCCCTCGTGGAGGTGCCGCGATTACACAGCCACGTTAATGTTGCTAGTGAAGACATGCCCTAAGGGTGCCCATTTTGGGAATTATACAGGTATAACTACAGTGCTATCACTATCCTAGTATAGTTCTGCTGGTAAATTTCCCCATATAGATAAGCCTTGAGTAAAATCTTTTCCCCTCTCAATCGCCTGCTGTCAGTCTTGTATATTTAGATGTCATAATTCCAGTCACCATAACTGGGCTATCAAACAGACAGCCCGGGGGCTGGATCTGGCCTGCATGATGTATTTTTGTGGCCCTCAAGACATACTCAGATTGTGCAAAATCAAGTTTCATTTAAAAAAATGTAAGCTTCCACTTTTCCCAGACTTGAAGAAGAGTTTGGTGCAAGCTCGAAAGCTTGTCTCTTTCACCAACAGAAGTTGATCCAATAAAAGACATTACCTCACCCACCTTCTCTCTCTAATATCCTGGGACTGACACAGCTACAACAACATTGCACCCTTCTCATGACTGCAGAGATACCCTGACCTGATGCCGTGATATCTGCCTGAGCCTGCAAGCAGCCTGACACAATGAATCAGAGAGATGAACTCTCCGGTATCCTATTAATCTCATTGGAGCCTCACCTGGAAAGCCCAATGAAGATCTATCAATGTCAATATTAACTATTCCATTGCTGATCAGTTTACCAGATGGAATGGGGGACGGGGTGGGAATAAAACCTCTGAGGGGTGGGGATTGGGAATGGCTGCAGGGAAAAAGCTGAGGGAAAAAAACAGGAGATGCACAAAGGCAGAAAAGAGGGAGAAACAGTGAAAGGAAGGGAAGCGAAGGGCGGAAATAGCAGTGGCCTAATGAGGAGCAGACTTTCTCACTCAGACCTGACATACACGTTAAAGTTTTCACGGCATAGCCATGTTGCTTAGCAGTGTGAAAAAATCGTACCCTAATGTAGACATGGTTACCCTGGCAAAAAAGTCCTTTTGCTGGTATAGTTTATTTTGTTCAGGGAACTAGTATAAGCTATTCCGACAAAAGCTGTGTCTCCACTAGGAGCGTTTGCAAACCCTTTCTAGTGCAGACAAGGTCTGAGTGTGACAATAATATACTGAATCATAAATAATAAAATTTGACTTCTAAAGAAGTGGGGTTTTTATCACAAAAGCTTATGCCCAAATAAATCTGTTAGTCTTTAAGGTGCCATCGGACTCCTCATTGTTTCTGTGGACAGACTAACACGGCTACCCCTCTAATACTTAATAAAGGTTGAGTTAGTGCATGAAGGCTGTGTTCTCTTGTTCTCTATTCAGACCTCCCTCGGACATCAATGGGAGACCTGCTTGTATTGAGAGGATATGAAGTCTTCAATATACATCCTGACCCATGGACCATAATTAAATATGGAATCTGGCCCTCTCCTCCAAATGAGTTTGACATCCCTGCCACAGAGTTTTCCAAGGTAGATGAGACCTGAATTTCTAATGTAAAAAACAAGCTGCAAATTAGTGGAAGAATGGGTGAGTCATGGGATGATTTGTTGTCCGGGGGGAGGGAGGGGGAAATGGGTGTGTGGACCAAGAAAGGTTAACACAAGAACATAAGAATGGCCAGGCACACTGGGTGAGATCAATGGTTCATCCAGCCCAGTATCCTGTTTTCCAATAGTGGCCAATGCTAGATGTTTTAGAAGGAATGGAAGGAACAGGGCAATCACTGAGTGATCCATCCCTGTTATCCAGTCCCAGCTCCTGGCAGTCAGAGGCTTAGGAACATCTGAGCATGGGGTTGTGTCCCTGACCCCCTTGGCTAATAGCTATTGATGGACCTATGCTCCAGGAACTTATCTAATTCTTTTTTGAACCCAGTTATAATTCTGGCCTTCACAACTTCCACTGGCAATTAGTTCCACAGGCTGATGGTGCGTTGTATGCAGAACTACTTCCTTTAGTTTGTTTTAAACCTGCTGCCTATTAATTTCATTGGGTGATCCCTGGTTCTTGTGTTAAGTGGAGGGGTAAATAACATTCCCTTATTCATTTTCTCCACACCATTCATGATTTTATAGACCTGCATAACCATTAGCCTGGACTAGCCTCCGGTGTTTTAAACATGGATTTAGGTGCCTAACTATAGACACCCAAATTTGCACATTTTGGCCACCGACAACTAAAATTTTTGTTATGTAAACAAACTAGTTAATTTTTTAAAGTTACCGACTGTGATTTTTTAAAAACCCATTGTACTTCTCACTGTTTATATTCTCCTTGTTTAGTTTTTTGCATTTTTCTCTGGCTGGACAATGAAAATCATTGAAATCAGTTTCTCTAATTTGTACTTACAGTCAGTTTCCCTTTCGGGATCTTAACACTGCCATGTTTGGGTTGCAAACACTGAATGTTGGCATATTTCATAAAACAGCTGTTTTCTTTGGAATTAAAAAAAACAGTGGAAGGATTCCACTGGTTTTAGGTTTTATAAAAGCATGCTCATACTGATTTTAAATTCTGGGTCAAATTCCGGTTGTCGGGTCCATCCATAGAACAATTCATCTGATGATTGACACCTGATCATTCCCACAGCAAAAAAATGTTATTGGATGATTGATGAAAATATGGTTGCTTTTCTTCCCTAGTTATTCGCATAAGTCCACCCTCTAGTTCCTGCAGTGTTTTGGGGGTAGTGTGGCACAAGCAAATCAAATCCATCACAGATCTAGAAGTGAATAGCCCATCCTGGGCCAGCATCTCTACAGAAAGTCCCTGTCACAAGACCTTATTGACTAAAATGCAGCAGCAGAAGGGCATCTGTTTGTGGAGGGAAAACTAGAATATTCCCTTTTGAGTTCCGCTTCCTCCTTTCGATCCACCTACCATCAGACACTTCCTGGGCATCTCTCTAGCAGGGAGAGTGTAGCAGCTGCCTTTTTTTTTTTGCAAGGCGGGCTCCTTCGCTAATCAGTGGAAGGTTGGGGGAAGGGGATGTTATCTCAGTGACAAATCCAGCCCTGCAAGTCTGGAAGGCGTTTGTGCCTGGGGAGTTTAAAAGTGAACTGCAAAGAAAAAAATTATGACCCTGCCATCACTCCTGTGTTAGTGAGTATATGACTGAGCGCCTGCTGAATTCATTTCTTTTTTAAAAACTTGGCTTCTGTCCTTTAAGTCTATGTTGTTTCCTTTCCATGCTTCTTGTCGCTCCCCTTTGTCTTCAGAGCCTCAGGAGACCTTGCTTAGTGTAGGCCCGTGACATCACTAGTGCCATGGAAATGCAAATCACCGCACTGTAATCTGAACTCCTGCTGTCCCCGCAGTCTGCCAGCTTCCTTCTCCCCACCAATGGTGCCCTGTGCTGGGAGGGTTCTGAGATAAAACAATGGTAACTGTGTAAAAGAAAAACAAACTTAGGCTGCTCCCTGCATTTAATTTCCTCCTTTCCCTCCTGGGCTGCCACGGCACAAATGTTGTGTCTACACTAGGTTTTTTTCTGAACTATTGCTCTCCATTGCTAACAGTGATGCAGCCCCACCCACAGAGACTGCCAGCACCTTGTCTACACTAGAGCTGCCACCGCAGCTACTCTGGTGGAGCTAGACAGGAGCAAAAGCTACAAGATCCACAGGCAGTCTAAACTTCAGCTGCTAGATCCCACGAGCTTCTGCCTAGGGAGAGAGCCCTGATTCAATCTTAGTTCTCCTTTCCCTGCTGCCATCCTCCTCAGAGCCCGTGAACACTGTCCTCTCCCCACATCCTGCCACAGGCAGGAAGGCCCAGCCTCTGGGCATTGCCATCCCCTCCTCTCAAGTGATCCAGTCCTGAGACCCCACAGTACCTTGCTGGCACCATCCCCGGGTGAAATGACTGTGAATAGGTGCTTTCCCCTGCCAGGTGTGCCTGCCCAGCAATCCTCTTAGGTCCGGTCTTCACTAGAAACGTTAGCGATATAGTAATAGCCATTAGGGATATAGTATTTTGGTGACATTTCTATACCAGCTAAAGTCCTAGTGCAGACACAGTTATACTGGCATAAAAGTGCTTTGGCTGGCATAGCTTATTTCGCTTGCTGAACTAGTATAAGCTAGACTGTCAAAAGCACTCTTTTGCTGGTATCAACTGTGTGTACACTAGGTGGGTTTGCCTGTATAGCCAGGCTGGTATAGCTAAACCAGCACATCTTTTCTAATGTAGACCCGGTACTTCATTCATCTCCCTCTCACTGGCAGAGCAAACCTTAGCTCCTCCCCACACTCCCATTTGCATCCCCACTAATAGTTACAGATTTTCCCTAACATTCACCCACTCCCGCCCCTACTGCTATGCTGAAAGGAGAGGGGGAGCCAGGAATGCCAATCCCACAACCCATTGTGTTGCCTGAAAGGAGACAAAACAGTCCCAGGCTAACCCCCACGTTTCCTACCCCAAGAGTTCCCTGCTGGACTGTGGAGTGATGGTGGTTATAGAAACAATTGGACACTATGGCATGAATGGATCGAGTAAACTGGCTGCTGGCTGGTAGTGGGAGGAGTAAAGGTAGGGGAAATGCAGTGCTGTGAATAAAAAGAAGGCCTTGCGCAGGGTGGCAGACTTGAAGAGAAGGAAAGAGATTGCACAGCTGAGCTGTCCGGCAAGTTGGTTTGGAAAGCAAACCAAATACCTGGTCAGGATGGTGTATTGTGTGTTTCCCTTTTGTACTAATGGGCAGAGTAGTGGCAAATTCTTTTACCACTTCCCTTCCAAGGGGAAAATGAGAGCAGCATGGACTGAGGCTTGCAGAAGGGAAATGAGCTGAAAGCCAAGCAAAAATAGCATGCTCTGTGAAGATCCCTTTGATGAATGTGATTTCTCAATGATGGTGGACATGGCATGACACTGTGGATACAAAAGAAACCCTCTGAAGAAGAAAGCTGTCCCCAAACTGAGAATACGAGCAACTGCAGGGCTGGCAGCAGAGAGTAGAAGTCTGAGCTCCAATAGGAAGCATTTTTGTGTGGTAAGGGTGTATGTTCATTGTGACAAGCCACATGACAAAAACGGTTTAGGAATTATTCCTATTGCAGGCAAGACTCCAACGTAACATTTCCATATTGCACTTCCCAGCCATCCACGAATGCAGAGGTGGATCCTGCGCTTGCGGATGAGAATGCTAGTCCAGGTGTTTCCAAACTTCCCGGGGCAGATGTCGGGAATATAAAGAGCACCGCAGTGCGAGGACAAGCAACAGTGAGTACAGCTTAGGACGTATCTCTTTAAAGGGGATTCTCTCTCACTCAGAGGTTTCCATCAGAGGGAAAATCAAAGTCATTATTTTTGTTATTAAAAACTATAGGGAAAAAAACTTGTTTGATATAAATAAGTAAAATGGAGCTGAACCCTCCTCATTAACACTGACCCTAAGAGACCAAACTCAAAACATGCTTTCCAGATCACTCCAACAGGAGGTGACTAAAGGAAGGTCTTTGCTGAGCAACTTTTCTGTCTAATGTAATTTGTCTAGGCTTGTGTCTCAGGCTCATCACCATCATATCAGAGTGTCTCTATTCTATAAACTTGTGGGAAAGGAGTTCTCACTGGAACTGAGCGAATAATTGAGTTTTTGGTTTGGTGGCTGAACCAAAAATCTGGAAGGAAAAAAAAAAGTATTTTGACCTGAAATGAAATTTTTGTTTTATTCATTACATTTCAGGGGTTTTTTTTTACACTTTGAATGTTTTTTTTTAATGTAGCTAAATTTAGAAAGGAAACATTGTTTCAGACAAAAAGTGAAAACATTTCCTTGTGAAAATGTCAAAACTAACTATTTAGACTTTTTTAAAAAATTCAATTTTTTATTCAACCAAAACTATTCACCAAATTCATTAATAGTTTAATTTGCCACAAAGCTGCTTTTTTCACTGAATAAACTATTGGACCAAATTTTTTCTCCCGGACCTATTTCTCATCCCTTGAAAATTGGCCTGGTTCTTTGCTAATACAGCAATATATGTTTTATTCTATAGGAGACATACAGTTCTGTTAATTCCAAACTCCCATTTTTTTAAATTAGAGCTGTTAATATATTGTCCTATTAAGGTCCCAACGTTTCAAAACTGAGCTCCCAACTTGTGTATAATGTGCTCCAGAGCCATGCTAGCCATGTTCCTTCCAGGTAATCCCACAAAATAAAACAAAGATGCTTACAGAATCTGCTTCCAAATTTGGTTGAAAACATTATTATTGTTATTTATTTGTATTTAACAATTTTAAATGGTCCAAGAATTTGCAGCTGCAATTCTTTGAATAGACTTGAGTTAAAATAGAGGAAGGAGTGCGTAGGTAAGAACGTGCAATGCTGAGGGGTTTATTTGGATGATCCACACTCAGCTATTCATGCCTGCGCGTATGTGGAATGATCATGCATTCAATTCATTGAACTGCAGCCTGCACACGATTGGAGTTTCACAATCACTTTTTAAAAAAATGTCAATCATTTAAAGACAAATGCTCTTAAAGAGAGGTGTGCCATAGGCTATGGTTTGGTTTTTTTTCTTTCTGTAAATTAAAATCAACTATAAATCAGTATACAACTGTCTGTCTACCTGTCTAATCTACCTGTCTGTCTATATTTTTTTCTTTCTATAGTGTCCATCACCACATAATCTAAGTCCTGAAGTGGAGTGTTTATTTTCACACAGAAAAGTCACAGTTAAGTGGAGTTTCGCTATAACAGGAGAGAGCCTACCTGGTTATTGCTTCCGTCTTCTCAGCCCAGGAACAATGGCAAGGGCTTTCTTCACCCCTTGCATTTTAGGGGGTCATTATCAGTTTTGTGTGTTGTTGCTACCAGTGGGAAGCAGCTGTGGCAAGAGTAATCCAGTTCCTTTTAATCCACCCTAAAAACAGATGCACCAAGAGTGGGAGTCAGTGAATGCCATTTTAGCCTTTTGCCATGGGATATTGTCCACTTCTCTTAACCCTCCTCTATCACCTAGGCCTGATCCAAATCCTATTTAACTCCCACAGAGTATGTCTACATAGCACACTAAGTCCAGGCTCTGATTCAGATTTGAGCCTAAGCCCCCGTTCCATCCACACACAAAATCAGTCTGACTTGGGTCAGCAAGCGCACAGTACCCGGGTTCTAGGATCCTGCTATTGTGGTGGGTCAGAGCTTGAATCTTTCTCTGACTGAAGTCCAAGCCCTGTCATTTTGCTGTGTGGATACAGCTCAATCCACAAACCTGAGTCACAAGGTCTGCCTACTTCAGTATCGATGGGTTACCATGGCTATGAGACTTGTATTCAGCAATTGTAAACCCAGGTTTACAATGGAGTGTGGATGCTCAGGTCAGTGGTGCTGGAACAATTTGTACAGTGGGGGTGCTAAGAGCCATTGAACCAAACTGCAAACCCTGTATATAATGGAAACCACTTCAAGCCAGCACCCCTAGTTCTAGCACTGATGGCTCATGTGTTTGGAAATACAGAGTCCACAAGCACAGATGTCACAGATCTGGGCATACAATGCAATACAGACATACCTATAGACTCCCGTGTGCTGATCAGGCCCCTAGAGCAGGGGAGTGGGCGATGGTAGTCTCTTTGGAATGCATCTATCTGGTAGGTGGAAAATGCTGTATTCCAGAGGACTTCGCAGAGTGGCATCTGAACACACTGGAGAGAAAAATTACTATTAATGGAGTGACGCTTCATTATAAGAAGAGAGAAAGACCACAGAAATGTACTGATGTAATTTAGGATTTTCACTCTACTCCACTGGTAACAATCTTACCTATATGCTGCTGCACACGGTTAACTTAAGATGTGATTTTAAACGGATTTAGTTAAACCAGTGCCAAAGGCTGTGTGGAAACCCTTATTTCAGTTGAAATAGGGCTTGTTTCAGTTTATCTTAAATCAATTAATAACAAGTCTAAGCTACATGAATCTAAGTCATTCTTAAACCAAAATAAGAGTGTCCACATGGGGGTTGGCACTGGTTTAATTAACCCAGTGCAAATTTGTGTGTAAGCAAAGCTAGAGTTTTACTATAGCTGAGCAACATGTCCTGCAGTATTTTTGGAAGAACAGAGTGACGCACAGTCTCATATACCAATTGTAATACAAACATCGTTTATATTAGGTGCAAGATTCAGCCAAGTTGTGGCAACTTTGAAAATTTGTCCCATCAGTTCGTCTACTCCGTTCCTAACAGGGGCTAATGCAAGACTGTACTTTAGAATCTATGCTCCAGGGCTCTGCCTGATCTAGTTTTAAATGTCTCAGGTGACATGATTTTCCCTACTTCCAGTGGGAGATTATTCCACAAAATAATAAGCCTCACTATCAGTAACACCGTACCAATACAAGAAAATCCTTTATCAGGCGCACTTGTTAACAGCACATTGTCTTGTAACATTCAATTTGAATGACAGGGCCTATTGCTAACAAAAAATATTACTCAGTGTTTTGTATGTGTTTTCAGTATACTGTCAAATCTGGGGGCTTATGCTGACATTTCCTCAGCTCCTCAGTTTATTTCTTTGATGAGAAAAACACAAGAAGAAAAAGCTTATTGTTCCTGTTGTTGTGCGCTGAACAACTTATAAAAAGTGTCATAGTACTCTACAACATTGTTCCAGACATGACAGTGTGCAACATCAGTTTTGCAAACACTTGTGATTTCATTGAGAGTCTGGTGATATTTCTTAAAGCCCCAGCTCCTGGAGTCATGTGATTACATAAAAATCTCAGCTTTCATTTGGAGCTCTAGCCCTCATGATTGTGGAGCAAAGTTTGAAGATGTGATCCTAATGCAATTTACAGGCTCAGAAACCAAAAGTCAAAGAAAAAGAACTTCACATTTTTTTAATTAATAATTTTTAACACAACTTTATCATATTTCAGGATTTGACAATATTGTTACTCCATTGTTTTGGGCCACTAATAAATATTTATACTTTGCACTTCCATCCATCCAAGAATCTTAAAAGAACTTTATAAATATTAATTAAGTCTCACAACAAATTTATTGTTTATACTATATAGCACTTTTCATTGTGAAGGATCCCAAAGTACTTTAAGATGTAAGAAACTGATATATTAACTATTAAATAGTTAATTCACTTAAGGATGAAAAGTAAAGTATAATTAATAATTTATTATTAATGATTATTAGATACAGGAATTATTTCACCACTACTGGAATGCAGCCACCTCTAGAGAGAGACTTGACAGCATTTTAATAATGAATCACAACAAGACACAACAGTTTAGGGTAGGAAGTGAAGGATACAGTTTATGCAGGGATCATTTCAACCACCACTGAAATGCAGCTATCTATGGCAAAGAATGTGGCTATTGTTTAACAGCTGTTCAACAATAGTGCACATGAGATTAGGATAGGAAATGAAGAATACACTATTTAGTTAAAATTGTAATTAACAATTAGATTATTTAACTAGTAAACAACTGGGATTATGTTGTTCATAATTATTATCCTTGGGTGCTGACAATGTGTTTGACACTATACCAGGTAAAAACTGATGACAGTCTCTAGGATGAAAGACATACAGTCTTCATGTTTTTTTGAAAGGCATATCCTGTTACCGGTGGGAGGTATCAAGGTGATGACCACCATTACAAAACTTTAAAGATTTAAACCCTGATCCTGCAAAGATTTATACACATGCCTAAGTTTAACTTAAAATCAGTGAGACTATTCATGTACTTAAAATGAGACCTCTTATGTGCTTAAAGTTAAACGTGCAAATCTTTGCAGGATTGAGGGATTAGTTTCTGTAGAAACAGATCTTTGCAGAACCTATGACCAATAGAAATCTTTCTGCAAAATTAGAAAAACTCCAATGAAAACAAATAAATTATCCTCCACATATTTGCAATCCAGGTATTGCACTGATAAAAAGTGAAATTAACTAGAAACTGACTATGATATTATTAATTATTAGTGACTGACATAGCCTGGGGACTATAAACAAAAGCAAAACTGAGTAATCTAGTTTCACTGGCCAGTGCAAGTGAAGTGCAAACAATAAATAGCTCATCAGGGTAGGGACTGTGTCTGTTTTTGTCTCTGAAACAATGGGGTGCTAATCCCAGGATGGGAGAGATGCACCTCGGGGCTCTGTCGTAATATAAATATTAATAATAAAAATAGATTGCCTCAGAGATGAAAGATAAACAACATCCTTTCAGTGCTAATGAACTCAAGATGTCATGAGCAACATAGGGGAGGAAATTTGCTTGTAAGAATATATTATTTTTAACCTGCCAGCTTCCTTTAAATAAACAAATACATACTGCCTCCAAGAGTAATGTCATGATACCACGAGGTGACTTCAAGCATGACTTCGATGGGGGCTTGTGAACAGCTTGGTCACTGGAACAAAGTTGCGTTACCGCATCAGGCAATCCAACAGAGGGTGGTGACATGCAGCCAGTCTTCATTGAGGCCAATTGGTCCCAGGTACAAGAGGGGAGGGCACTATGGCATGAGGTGGGGATGTTGTGGTGTGTGATGGGGGCACTGTATCAGGAGAGGCAGGGACACTGGTATCATGGCCTGGATGCCATGATGTGAGGCCTAAGGTGGGGGTGCCCTAGTGTGAAGTATGAGCGTCATCGTGCAAGGGAGCGCTGTGGCGATGTGGCCGGGGTGCTATGGTGTGAGGTGGGGAGTGCTACGGTGCAAAATGGGAGGTGGAAGTGCCAGAGGGTGAGGGGGGTACTGGGGCACCCTGGTGTGAGGCGTGAGGTTGGGGTACTGGAGCATGGGGGAGGCCACTGCGGCACTGTGCTAAGGCTCCCGGGGACGCCTTGGCATGAGGTGCCATGGTCCCCCTGCAGACAGGCCATGGCGGATAGTGCTGCCTGGTGTAGGCAACCCCTAATATGATACCCAACCCACCCCCCTCCCTTTAAAGCAGAGACCAGGGGTCTCCACTGAGGCTGCAGGCTGTGTTCCCAGCTCAGCCCAGACATGGATGCGGTGCCCTTTAAGAGGAGGCCAACCTAGACCTGAAGAAGCAAGGGGGGGAAGCGCGCATGCGCGGGGAGGGGGCGGGGGAAGCGGAGCCTCAGCGCATGCGCTGTGCGCATGCGCACTCAGTCCCCCCGCGCTGGGGCTTGTCGTTGCAGCTTTAAGAGGTTGGCGGCCTGGAGGGTCCGACCAGCCCCCCCCTTCCTCCCCCCGAGGGAGCAGCCTAGACACCCCCCCCTCCCGGGGAGCCCGGTCGGAGCCCCCTCCCCCGCAGCAGGGCTCGGGGCCGACCCCCACCGCTCCGTGTCACCTCCTCCCCCAGGGGGCGAGCGGCAGAGCCCCCCCCGGGGTGTGAGGGCTGCGGGGGCCCAACATGGCGGAGGCAAAGGAGGAGGGACCCGGAGCTCGTGCCAGGGTGAGCGGAGGGGGGGCCCGGGGGAGGCTGGGGAGGTCAAAGGGGAAGGGTCAGGTGGGGGTCAGCGGGAGGGGGCGTGTGGGAGGCGCCCTGGGGAAGGGGAGGGCGCCGGCCCGCAGAGGAGGGGGCCGCGCTTGCAGGCAGAGGGGCAGGGAGTGGGGCAGCCGGGGTGGGTATCTGGAGTGTGCTGAGCTGGTGGGAGGGACTCCAGCGTCCGTTCCTCTTTGTCCCCGGTGAAGGGATCGTGCAGCCCGCCTCTGCTGTTGGGGAGGGTGGGTGGTATGGGGGCGGTGATCGGGACCTGGCGTGTGGATGGTGGGAGAGCAGGAGGCACCTTTTAATAGTGGTCTTGAAAAGATGGCTGTCTGGAAACGATCCTTCTTTCTCTTCCCCTGCCAACCTCCCATGCTAAAGCCTAGGTAGTCTATGGCTGGAGGTCCTGACCTGGTGGGGAGTGAGATGCCATCATAAAGCATGCTGGGATTCATATAAATGCAGTGACCCAACAAGTCCCCACTAATTAAGGGTATGGAATCCCGGTAGCTAAGGTGCATTTCAAGTGTTTAAAATTTTCTAGGTTTCCCTAAAATTGTCCGGTGCAAATCAATTGAGTGATAGTACCTCTTTAAAATTTTGTAAGGGAGTGTCAGTTGGTCCTCCGGGTGTCATTATTCAAGCAACACAATTCAAGTTTATTAGGTTTCATCATCGGGATTTAATTGTCTGGCTTTCCCTTGTTTAAGCACACACTGTAGTTGTTTTTAAAAAGTTATGTTAATTGTCCATGTCAAACCAAAGTGAGTTCTCAGCATGGCAGGCTCATCCAGTTCTTAGCTACTCAGACTGCACCCACTATATAAGTATCAGGGGGTAGCCGTGTTAGTCTGAATCTACAAAAACAACAAGGAGTCTGGTGGCACCTTAAAGACTAACCGATTTATTTGGGCATAAGCTTTCATGGGTAAAAACCTCTTCATCCGAAGAAGTGAGGTTTTTACCCACGAAAGCTTATGCCCAAATAAATCTGTTAGTCTTTAAGGTGCCACCAGACTCCACTATATTAGCCCAGCTAATACTGAGACATGGTCCTTCAGTTCCACAGTTAAGTCTGCATGAATATCAGGCATATTGTTTTACCACAGTGATAAGAGATCTCAATAATAAATTTCTTATTCCCTATGTTTCGTTGCCTGAAGAATAGCTGATAAAAATAAGTTTTAAAGCATTTTTCTAAATACATTTGCAGCAAGTCAGTGGCTCTTTTCTGCACTCGTATAACTCCAGTTGAAAACTGTCAGTAATAAGTAAATCAATACTAACCTGGATCCGAGCTTCTGATTTAGAAATGAAAGTTCCATATCCCACTACCATTCTTCTGAGCTGTCCCATTTCCATTGTCTGAGAGATGCTGTTTATGATGAAGTCCTTTCAAGTTCTGGACGCTAGACTCAATGAGAATAAATTTAATTAATTTGCTTCAAATAACATGAACCTTGTGACTGGTTAGTTGTTAGGTAGAATATGTGAATCTTCTGGATGTAATTGGCGACACTGTGTAAGTAGTTTTATATTGCTCAACTACCATAGGGTCATGGAACATCATAATGTTGTCTTAGACCCCGATCCTTCAAACACTTATACATTTGTGTAGCTTTATACTCAGGAGCAGTCCCATTCAACTTGGTGCAACTGCCCAGAAGTGTAAAGTTTTTATATATATATATATATATATATATATATATATGTGGCTCAAGCTCTCAGATGTTAGAC